TTAGAAAGCTTGTTTCGTTAGAGCAATTGCGACTGAATAGTGAGTCCGAGCCTCACTGGGTGCCGCATATTTTCGACCTCGTGTAACATCTAAGCGAAGCTTAGAAAATCCCCATTGGGGCACTTCGATGTGATGTAATGGTGAGCAAGCTTGTCTCGCTAGATCAAATATGAATTGCTTCCTCAAGGGGTGCCCCAATAAGTTCGTCCTTTTGCCACGTCGAAGCATTGGTAACTTCGACGTGGTGCAATGGTTAGCGAGTTTGTCTCATTGAAACAATTACGACTGAGCGGTGAGTTTGATTCTCACTGGGTGCCCCTTACTTTCGGTCTTGTGCAACATCTAAGCTACACTTATAAAATCACCATAGATTATTAACATGGTATAAGAACTGTATTGACTATATAAAGAGATATGAGTGTATAGAAAGATAAGATAAAAATACATTTAAAGACCTTTTAATTCTTCAGTGAAATACCAACGAGAGAACTATAATTCTGTCATTTTTGACATCAATTTGGATAGTTTCAATTATTATTATTATTAGTAGTAGTAGTACTTTAATATTGACGTTGCTATGAATATTTCTATAGTTTATGTTCAATTTGTATAATGTGATTTATGTTTGTACATATAGCATTCATTTGTAAGGTCAAACATCAGTTTTTTGAAGTCTACCTAGATCGTTTGCTCTAGGGAAGGGTGTGCGGGTGGTATAATGGATAACGGCTCAGAATTTAAAATCAGAGATCCGAGTTCCAATTCAAGTCGGTTTAGTTATATTAACTTGTGCACAAATACCCATGGAAAAGGTATGAATTCAACCTTTCTATCCCCAGCTGTATCAGTTAATCATTATTATCTCCAAAAAATCTAAAATATTTTCTGGCTTTAAATAACGTGCAAAGGTTGATAAACCGTAAAAAACAAATTAATCTCTCTAGGCTAGCCTGATGATTAAGCGATTGATTGTTTCAATTTTATTTCCAATTCAAATGTTTCTGTCTCTTGTGTTTTTAACAGTGACTTTTATGGATTTGGTATTTAAGGTGTTTATAGACTTGGTGTTTAAGGTGTTTATTGATTTAGTGTTTAAGGTGTTTATAGATTTGGTGTTTAAGGTGTTTATTGATTTAGTGTTTAAGGTGTCTATAGACTTGTTGTGTAAGGTGTTTATTGATTTAGTGTTTAAGGTGTTTATAAATTTGGTGTTTAAGGTGTTTATTGATTTAGTGTTTAAGGTGTTTATAGACTTGGTGTTTAAGGTGTTTATTGATTTAGTGTTTAAGGTGTTTATAGATTTGGTGTTTAAGGTGTTTATTGATTTAGTGTTTAAGGTGTTTATAGACTTGGTGTTTAAGGTGTTTATTGATTTAGTGTTTAAGGTGTTTATAGATTTGGTGTTTAAGGTGTTTATTGATTTAGTGTTTAAGGTGTCTATAGACTTGTTGTGTAAGGTGTTTATTGATTTAGTGTTTAAGGTGTTTATAAATTTGGTGTTTAAGGTGTTTATTGATTTAGTGTTTACGGTGTTTATAGACTTGGTGTTTAAGGTGTTTATTGATTTAATGTTTAAGGTGTTTATAAATTTGGTGTTTAAGGTGTTTATTGATTTAGTGTTTAAGGTGTTTATAGACTTGGTGTTTAAGGTGTTTATTGATTTAGTGTTTAAGGTGTTTGTAGATTTGGTGTTTAAGGTGTTTATTGATTTAGTATTTAAGGTGTTTATAAATTTGGTGTTTAAGGTGTTTATTGATTTTTAGTGTTTAAGGTGTTTATAAACTTGGTGTTTAAGTTGTTTTTCTCACTATTGCCTTTCGTCTTTTAGGTTTCCATTACCTGGCAATATTCATGACGGGATCTCTGCTATTCTTTTGTTTCCTCTTCTGAAGTTTTTTATATAATCGATAATCGATAAATGTCTATATGCTGATTTTTTATATTTTGGGGGTTTCACATCATTCTTCTGTTGCTTTGAGTGCAGTTGTATGGCTTCTCTTAGTAATATTCTTTTGCCCCCTTTTGCAATATTCGACTTCCTTGATTGTCCAGTGGAAGTAATTAGTGGAAGTTGACTAATTCTTTGCCTCCATTCTCCTTGTAGCTTGTCGATACTGATTCGCAGATCAGATAATGTATGCGTAATCGTCAGGTTACTTGTTTTGTTTATCAATTTCTGTTTTCCCTTTTCCAGATTATGGATAGGTCAGGGCCCCTCACAATCGGCATGAACAAGATATTAGTGTGTACGAAATGTAATGAATTTAAATTTTTATATAATTTTTTAATCATTTAACCCCAAGCAAGGCGGGAAAGATACTATTGCGCAAAGGGTTACAAAAAGTGAAGGTGAAAAAAAAATACAGTGTATGGGGAGGCCCGAGGAAAAGATAAAAGCTGAATAGGGTTCAAGAAGATAGAAAATGGCGATTGACATTGCATTTAAATTTTGGGAGATTGTAGTTATCAGGGAAGCAAAGAAACGGAAACATACGAGGGAAATGCAAGAAAATAAACTGTTGGAGTGGATGTGGCGGTTACATTTACCTAAATCAACAGTAAAATGGTGGAACCTAAATGTCAGTCTAGTCGAACGCTAGTGCTCGCATTCATAGTCTGAGCGCTAGGGAAAAAACTAAATAATACGTTAGAAACATTACATAATGAGGTATTCAAAAAGTAATTACAGTTTGCTAAAAACAACATAAAAACAAATGAAGAGTACATTTATTTAAATATTATTTCACGGAAATGTAATCGCTTTCGTTTTCAACGTTTGCAGACAAAAAAGAAGGTATTGTTGTTAGCAAAAGAAACCGAAATTAGACAAGTACAAAAAGTTAAATATTTAGGCAATGCTTTAATTGGGAGGAAAAATGCGACACTGAAATTCAAAGACGCATTGACATAGCGAAAGAAGCCTTTCAAAAGCTAAGCAAACTGACAGGAAAATTTCATTAGAAAATAAAGACAAAAATACTGAACCTCTATATAAACTCAGTACTCCAGTATCTGTCTATATTTCAGAGATGAGGTATTATGTACACTATTTACATTATTCAGACTATTGTTGGCTTGGAATTGTTAATAGAGAGCGATGTTTCAATTCCAGTTTGGTTCACTTATGTGCAAATACACTTGGGATAGATATGAATCCACCTGTTCTTCCCCCAGCTATGTGTTAATTAGCAAGACATTTCCCTAAATCATTGGTCTGGTTTGTGTTTTCGCTCGACAAAACTAATTCTTTGAAAATAGAAAGGAGCCAGAGAATTGAACTTAATGATGAGAATAAACTATAAAAAAAAGACAAGAACCTTTGGAGAGACATGTTTGGCCATGTCATGAAGAGACGGCGTCTATAAGGAGATATTAAGATATTACCACTACAAATTGTAACGTTACATGAGTTTGAATCAATGGTGGATAGAGACAAATTTTCTAATGTCTTCTAATGGAAAGCGAGAAATAAAAGCTTCATAATACGTTAGAAATATTACATAGTGAGGTGTTCAAAAAGTAATTGCAATTTACTAAAAACAACATAAAAACAAATGAAGAATATATTTATTTAAATATTATTTCGACTTTTCAACGTTTGCAGAAGTCTACATTCAAAAATATTTGCGTTTTTGAACGATCTATTTTCAACTTGTTTATTTCTGAATTTTCCGATTGACGGAAACAAATGAAAATATGAACCTGTTAAGTCCGGTGCTTAATGAGGGTCTGGAAAAAAAAATCATCATCCATAGCGGTTTTCTTTTTTATATGGCTTTGTTTTGTGGAATGATTTCATGCATTGTCGTATTAGAAAACAAATCCCTTTCTGTTTGCTAAAGCAGAAGGTTTTCGATGTCAAACTTTCGTTATTCGATCAAGTTGCAGTCAATAAACGTCGACAATGATGACCCTTCCATACTTTCCCAAATATAAAGCAAGAATTCACATTCTCAGAAGCCTGGGATTGGTGTTAGTGCTAATGACTTAATTTATCATAGTTACTGCCTATTCCATTTTCTGTTGACATGTAAACATATTTTTAGTACCACTAACAATGAGATTCAAAAATGGAAGGTGGATATTTCTAATTAAAAAGCTGTGGCGAAATTTTTGAAGAAGCCAAATTTTTTCTTTGCAAGAATTCTCAATTAAACATTGAAGAGGCACTCTAAACAATACCCCATGGGAACGAGTATATGTTCAATGTAATTCAAGTGGTATCTCCTACAATTCAATCTTAGTTCTACCCTAGATGCCTTACTCATAATTTATAGCTATAAAATAATAATTACTTTTCGAAAACCGTACTAGATAAATTAACTATTATGAAATTAACATCTCATAACGTCTCTTTAACAAACCGGACAATTTCAACGTCACGTTGATATGTAACGTCTGCTGTGATCGTCCTTACAAGTTCCATTTGTCTGTAGTGGACGGAAATTTTCATATTCTACCAAACACCAAGCAAAGGCTTCTATGGAAGAAATCTTGTCGAATATGTCACAAATGCCTTTTTTAAATCTTGTAAAATACAGATAACAATGTACGGGCCTTCACTGCGTCAGTCTACACTACACAAGTGCTTTTAGATACCTCGGTATTAGTACTATTCTTTCTGAATGTATTATGTAAACAATGGCGAATATGTACCTTCTTAAAATTATAATGTGCCTTAAATGTAAAAAGTTCTATGCGAGCATTCTGTCCTGAAAAAAAAAAAAACTCTTCACACTAAATAATGTTTTTTTTTTCGAAGATGAGGTATTGAAATAGAAAACAAAATGTCAGTTTTGATTATACATCAAGAGAAACGATGATGGTGCTTAACTTTAACTTTAGTGTCTGATATATCTGGGTTGAAATCTGAACAGTTATTTATTCATGCGCAGCATGCCTTGATCTGGTAGACCTGGCGAAGCCTATCCCTCTCCAGGTCAAATTTCACAAGTTACATTGTATTATTAATATTTTTGTGAGATTATTTTTTCTTTTAGCTATATAATATATTTCCTTTATTTTTGTCGCTTTTATTGGTCGAAACAACATTTCTCGTCTTCCCCCTTCTTCTGCTTCCTCCTCTTCCCAACCTGATGTAACATTATTTCTTTTGTGGGTGGACAATAATTTAAAACGGATTTTCGCTTCTCCACCTCTTTTTCTCCATCACCACCTTTACTTTTGTTTCTTTCTTGATTTCTCCTGTCATATCTTTCCTGACATGAATTTATCGATTTGCTCTGTTGCCCAAATCATAAAAAATAATATTACCAAAAAAAAGTAAAAGCTGAATATTTTAATCCTCGTATCATTTGCTCTGATTGAAATCGAAGCTATAATTCTATAAATATTTGATTGATCCGACTATTCTATGTAGGATAATCCTAACGCCTGACACATCCATATCTATCTATCTATCTATCTATCTATCTATCTATCTATCTTTGTCATTCGCAGAGAGTACTGTTTAGCTGTATCCCAGCTCTTGAGCGCGACTAGACATCCGAATGCCTTAAGCGAGGATTGAAACCCAAGAAATTTGGTATCAGTCATAATGTCTACCTCGGAGCTACCTTCATTCGTCAGCTAAATCTGGCGTATTGCTTTTACGAATGTTAATCAACCGGAGTGCTCCATTCATTTTATTGAAGAGCTTTGCATTAACATAGGTGGTTGTTGTTTGTAGAATTAGCTTGTCATTCAACAGTGCTCAATTGAAATATATTTTCAAGAGCTAAATTATGTCATTTGCAGACAGTACTATATATATATATATATATATATATATATATATATATATTAACTTCCATATTTTCATTATATTTATTTTTATCTTGTTCTCAATCAAATGAGTCCTTTAAAATTAAAGGACTGGGCTCATTTACCCTGCGATATCAATGGGGTTTATTGTGAGTCTACTGTAATTTAAACTGTTTGTACTCAATTTATTTTGCATAATATAGCCGGGAAACTATCAAGCAATGTCTAAATACAGTGTGTTACAGAACTATAAATAGACACCACTATGGATTCACTGAAATCTATATTATAGGAGTGGCTTCAAAAGCATAAACTATTGTTCCCCTCTCTTCCTCTCGCTCTGTACCAGGTCCTGTCAGGATGTGAGCGATGATGGCTCTCCACAATTTCGTATCTTTTATTACTCTAAGTAATACTGGCTGATTCTGAATCTATCATAAAAGTCAATGTGTGAAATCAGTTAGGGTTAGACAAAATAATGTGAACACCCTGGCTTAAAAATTTATTTATTGACGACTAAGATGTTAGACGTCCATTGGCTTCTAAAACTGCTTTTATTCGACGCGGATTGGAATAAAATAAATTTTGAATTGTTTTCCAGTTTAATTTTATTCGATTCTTCAATCAAAATCTTGGATTATTGCTTCAGCGACGATGGGGATGAAATCTGTTTCTCACTCTCTGAACTCTGAATTATATGCTTAAATTATGTTGAGATCAGGTGATTGTACTGGCCAAGAAAGATCTTTAATTATGTTATGATGCTCAGCAAACCATGACTTCACCTTTTTTTGCAGTGTGCATGGGTGCAATATCATCTGCGAAAATGCAAATTTCTGGCAACAGTACGGTAGCCATTATATGGGCGTTGTCATTGAGAATCTCGACATATATATCTACAGTAATTCTACCATTAAGCCAGAAGAATACCAGTAAAGTGCCGCCTAAATCATTACTGAGCCACCGCTATGTTTCACTGTCGGGACTGTGCGTTCTGGATCATAGGCTTTACGCATTGTTCTCCACACATAAAGATGCAAAAAGAACGTTTTTTCATTGCAATTTTTATGATCATCACCCCATTCTTTTCGTTCGACTTTTTGAGCAGATATTTAGGAATCGCAATACTTACATGGATACCAGCTTCATGTAGCCCCCGACGTACAGTGCGTGTAGAAACTGTAATGGTTCAGTGATTAATGAGTTCTGACATCAGTTTTACTGCAGTAGTTTGATGACTTTTTGTCACAATTAATTTTAAAGATCGTCGGTCTCTTTCGTTCAACATTGGTTTCCGTCCACTCTCACTCTGTGCTGATGATGTTTTGCCTTGTTTTGTGTCAGCTCTCGTAAGCGTGAACACTACCGCTCCTGACACATTCAATAATTCAGAAGTTTTGTCCACATATCCTCATAATAGTCGAGCACCAATTATTTGCCCTCTGAAAATCTGGCAGGTCGCGTATGTAACTCATTTTCCTGAAGATAAATAATAACTTAATTGAAGCAAGGTAAAGGAGTAAAGTGCTGAGCAGTTAACTATTATGCAGGTTTGATGTTTACAAATAGCCGAAAGTGCCGGAATTGAAAAACATGCTATTTTCGCAAGCTGTTCACTTTATTTTGTCTAACACCTGTATATATATATATATATATAAGTGTAAATAGTTATATTCGTCTGGAAAAACCTTAACAAATGCCCAAGGAAAAATAAGGGATAAAAAAGAAAGAACTAAGAAGATGTAATTGAGGCGAAAACAGTGTATGTATGTATGTATAATTAGCCAGCATTCACTATTCTAAAGGGTATTATTCATAACATAACAGTTCAAAACACTTTGTTTCTAAGTTCATTTTCCTATCTCTTAATACATTACTTAATTTGGTGAAGGCACCTTTTGATATTTCTGCACGTCTCATTTTTTCACCGTCGCCTTTTTTCTGTCGTCATTTGCTGTATCTTTTTACTGCTATGTACACGGCCGATCACAATGTCCCTTCTTTTCTTTCTTATCTCTGAACTGCTATGGTCTCCCGTTAGCTTTTACACTGTCTGGAAGTCAGAGTAGTGCTTCTCTTAAATTAGTTGCCAGCGGAGGCTAGAGAGATCAGTTTGCCCTGCTATTTAACCCCTAGAAGGTAGATAGAAAAGACAGATTCCTACCTTTTCCAAGTTTAGTAGTGCAAAAGTGCACACAGCAGACAAACCCGTGATTTGAATCCCGGTTGGCTGATTACGCTTTCCGCCTCGATATCTGTTACAATCCCCGTATGTCCATTACTGTATTAGATATTTCATTAAAAAAGGACAAGTTTGAATTTGGCGTCACAGATATGTAACACACATACATTCCTCATTTCTAGTAATTGTTTCAGTTGTCTTTAACGCAGGTTCATTTGCATAGCTTATGTTGTTAATGTTCTTCCGCGGATAATAATTCTTTGTAGTTTTCCTATTCATGTACATGTTAAAAAATCCAGTGGAAAAAAAAAAAAAAAACACATCTTATCGACTAGCATGGGACCAAACAAAAGCAGCGGACAACACCGACCACGACAACGACAAACTTCAACATCGACGAGTGGGGTAACGGCCTCGGCGGCTGCGGCGGCAGCGTTATCGGCGACGGTGGCGAATGGTTCGCCTTAGCCAGCAATAGACAAACCACTAAGACGGCGACCAACCGTTAAAAACTCACGCACGAACGGACCATCAGGAAACGCGCAATGCTTCAGCTGTGGAAACGGCGGCGGCGTCAAAGGCGGCGTCAAAGGCGGCGTCAAAGGCGGAGTCAAAGGCGGCGTCTGCTAATGCTGATGACCATGCGAACGCGTTCACGGATTAAATATCCGACCTTAGTGCAATCAACCTTTGAACGGTAGACGAAGATGTGTCGATGGATTCTTCGGTAGGGAATGCGGTACGCAAAGGAGAAACGACGACGTATTGCTGGCTGCACTGTCCCTTCTGCCTGCCGAGACCCGGAGCCCCTCCACGACACACGGCGAGTGGTAAAGGGTGATTCCTGAAGCAGGCAGATTCGGCGAGGGAGCGAGCCAAGTGTTTTGTCCTGGAGGAGTGTTTCCGAACAAGCGACACTAGAGTCTATCCTCCTCGCGAAAGAAGGCGGCGACGTCCTGGGAAGCTTGTGCGGATACGCTTCCTCCTCCGAAGGAATGCCAGCCAAGGCGAAAATAACAATGACGACAACAACGACGACAACAACGTCTTAGACAGCAATACGATTCAGAAGAATGCGATGGCACGGAAGGGAAAAATGAACGATCAGCGAAAGTTGATTCAAAGACAAGAAAAAGCAGAGAACACGCACGGGAGTAAAAAACCGAACAAGTTCGAATTTCTTATACTTTGAATCCTGTTCGTGTAACAACCTTTGATTTTTCTCACAATTTCATACTATTCGATACACAAACTGTTCAAAAAACTTCAAAACGAAGCAGCTGGCCGGCCTTCTTTCGCGTCGCCGGACGCCCGTAATGCGCCTTAGAAGGTAAATGCGTGAGTCCGTCGAAGCGGTTGGCTGGTCTCCGCTTGTGATTGCCGGGCGCCCGTAATGCGCCTTAGAAGGTAAATGCGTGAGTCCGTCGAAGCGGTTGGCTGACCTCCGCTTGTGATTGCCGGACGCCCGTAATGCGCCTTAGAAGGTAAATGCGTGAGTCCGTCGAAGCGGTTGGCTGGCCTCCGCTTGTGATTGCAGGACGCCCGTAATGCGCCTTAGAAGGTAAATGCGTAAGTCCGTCGAAGCGGCTGGCTGGCATCCTCCGCTTAGATCGCCGGACGCCCGTAATGCGTCTTAGAAGGTAAATGCGTAAGTCCGTCGAAGCGGCTGGCTGGCCTCCTCCGCTTGTGATCGCCGGACACCCGTAATGCGCCTTAGAAGGTAAATGCGTAAGTCCGTCGAAGCGGCTGGCTGGCCTCCTCCGCTTGTGATCGCCGGACGCCCGTAATGCGCCTTAGAAGGTAAATGCGTAAGTCCGTCGAAGCGGCTTGCTGGCCTACTCCGCTTGTGATCGCCGGACGCCAGTAATGCGCCTTAGAAGGTAAATGCGTAAGTCTGTCGAAGCGGCTGGCTGGCCCCCTTCGCTTGTGATCGCCGGACGCCCGTAATGCGCCTTAGAAGGTAAATGCGTAAGTCCGTCGAAGCGGCTGGCTGGCCTCCTCCGCTTGTGATCCCCGGAGGCCCGTAATGCGCCTTAGAAGGTAAATGCGTAAGTCCGTCGAAGCGGCTTGCTGGCCTCGCCGGACGCCCGTAATGCGCCTTAGAAGGTAAATGCGTAAGTCCGTCTTGTGATCCCCGGACGCCCGTAATGCGCCTTAGAAGGTAAATGCGTAAGTCCGTCGTAGCGGCTTGCTGGCCTCCTCCGCTTGTGATCGCCGGACGCCCGTAATGCGCCTTAGAAGGTAAATGCGTAAGTCCGTCGAAGCGGCTGGCTGGCCTCCTCCGCTTGTGATCTCCGGACGCCCGTAATGCGCCTTAGAAGGTAAATGCGTAAGTCCGTCGAAGCGGCTTGCTGGCCTCCTCCGCTGGTGATCGACGGACGCCTGTAATGCGCCTTAGAAGGTAAATGCGTAAGTCCGTCGAAGCGGCTGACCGGCCTCCGTTCGCGGTCATTTCTATTTTTGGCTATTCACAAAACTTGTTCACTATCTGCGCGCAAGCTATTTGTTCTCATTAGAAACTACAGATTATTTGAATATTTTTTTTAGGTCTAAATTAAAACTCCCTAAATTTCAAGGATTAGTTTGCGTTGTGCTTCGTCGAATCTGTTGGAGTAAACAATTAAAGATAAGTATAACACGTGTTGCCATCTCTAACTGAATTCTCTCGTATTTGATTTGAATAGAGATAAATGTGTACCACATTAAAATATCATAGCTTGCATATCTTCTATGTATCTAGCTTTCTATTTGACTTACGACAATATCAGGTTGAAGCATGAGTTCTCGTAATCACCAAAGTTAAGCAACTTCAATCCTTATCAGTACCTTGATGATCACTTGGGCATGCTAATTGATGCAAACTTGTATGTACGAATGGTGTAATAGATAATGGCTCGGAATTGTTAATCGGAGAGTCGAGTTCAAATTCCAGTCGGGTTCGTTATATTCCAGTACGCGCAAGAAATAATCATACACAGAATAAATAAGCAATATTAATGCAATTAATGGCGGAATGACTTCGCTTGTAAATCATAATGTATGCATTAAAATACTGTTAATCCATTGAATGATGTGATCCTCATTTATAAAACTGTTGTCAGATGTTTCTAGTGTATATTTTTTAAGTTAAGCAAGTACTTTCGAAGATCCATGTCTCCATCCTCAGGCTGTAATTTTTTTTCTTTAAAGTTAAAACTTGAAGACGAAATAATTGTTTGTAGACCGAAAGATGTTTTTTTAAAGAGTGTGCTATTTATTGACGGTTGTACAATCTCGGAACGTGCGAGTCGCAACGCTAAAGTTCAAAATTTCAAGTTAAAATTTTTATATGAATTTTGTAATATGGTAAATCTACGAATTCTATTTTTTTTTTTGTGTGTGTGTGTGTGTGTGTGTGTGTGTGTGTGTGTGTGTGCTAACGGCTTAGTGGAAGAATCCACGACTGACGCCAATTCAGTCGGCTTTCGATCCTAGCTAGAAGCAACCAGGCATCTAGCCTCACTGATGAGCTGTGATACAACGAAACACTCTGTCTGTGGATGACAATATATATGCTCCTGAAAAAATTATTTCGGTTGAGCTCTCTGGGGAGGAAGTGTGGGTTTGTAAACAGTGACTATTACGGCTAATAATGCAAGACTCTTCGATTAATCGAATCGAGTTCTCTCAGTCATTCTATGTTTATCTAAAAATAAATACGCTTAAATTCACCTTCATCCCTTCCGTGCGCCATCGGCTTAGTAGTAGAATCCCCAACTGACGCCAATTTAGTCGGGTTTCGAACCTAGTCACACTGATGAGGCGTGATAAAGCGAAACACTCTGTCTGTGAATGACAATATATACATATATATATATATATATATATATATATATATATATATATATATATATATGTATGTATATGTATACACACAGAGACATATATATATATATATATATATATATATATATATATATATATATATATATATATATATATATGTATATTTAATGAAAAACAGACCACTTTAAGGTACCATTACAATAATTTATTTCACCAAAATCCTTTTTTAAAGTATTTCGGATCATCAGGTAACACTTCCAACAATGAAATGAGAGGAAAAATTGGATTAGAAATTGATGGGTAGTGTAATTTTTGTAATTAAACAGGGAGGGTGAAAGTGGCGGTTAAAGAGACAATACAGAGTATAGGGAGGGTTAAATTTATATATCTCTTAAATAAGCTTTATATTGGGGTAGGAGGAGTGACCTAACCTTGACCTATTTATATGGTTAAAAAAACGGAAGTGATATGTAGGAATAGTGAGGAAATGAAATAAAGTAAAAGGAAAAAAGAGAAAAAAAATGGAAAAAAGCCAGACGTATCCAAATTTCATTAAATATTAGCTCTGTTCTTCACATTGAGCTCTCAGGATTTCGTCCTCCTTGGATTTACCAATTCGTTTTACCGAGTTCTTCATAACTTAAATATATATATATGTATATATATGTATGTATAAAGAAATATTTAACAAGGAGGTTTGGTGTGAACTGATAAGTGTTATTTACAATGTTGCTGAAGTTTAAAAATCACACTAATTTGCAGTCGAAACGACTCATGATGATCAATATTTGGTGAGCTTCTACAGATTAGACGTTGAATTGAATACATTGACAAATAAGGAGAGTCTGTCGGAAAAAGAAACTAACGTTTTCATAATTAGACTATGTATATGCCTACGTAAGCTGAACAAGTGATTGTTGTTTTTAGAAATGCATTAGTTCCGACTCGGCAAGCAGAACCCAAATCCGATCTCTCTTAGGTCAATCGACCAAGACGATATATTTTGTAAACGTATCCATTTTTTTTTACCGAAACAGTACAAACGTTTTTATTATGGAGACACAGTAAGATACACGAAACCTAGACTCTATGGCAAATGTAAAGTGAAAAAATCGTAAAGTGCTTATACTAGAGGAACTGACGCCATATGTTGATAATAATATAATGAAACTTACAATTCATTTTCAAATGACTATATCTTTGCAAGATTATTTCTATGTGTGTAAACGTCAGTAATATTCACACACAAGATAATTAACAAAAATACACCATAAACGGTTTATCCATCCTCTCCTATCAGAACGCAATAGAGAGCGTTAAATGTGTGTAATAACTAACACACAAGGATTTTGTAGAATGATACTGTCTAAATGTAATAGTCACCACTTCTGCTTAAAGGTGAATGGCTGTTAGGACTTAATATAGATTGACGCTTAAATAGTCAGGAACTAAAATTATATAATTTTGCACTTCTTATCAAACTAGTATCGTAGTGGATATGGGCGCAAATAGTGGGGTTAGGATTAGGATTAGGATTAGGTGTTCTAGATTAAGCTCCTTTCTCATAAACCTTGAGTAAATTTTCAAAATGATAATTATATTAATAAATCAGTCGCTTAATTATGAAAAAAATGAAAACATTTTTCGCACAACGTTTCTCCATAAGAACATGGTCACTACATATAAGAGATGCTGGTAAGGTTTCTGTAGCGAGTTGGATTTTACGGAGCGGAGTTGATCGACAGACGCCCAACCGCTTTTGAGTTTAAAATTATCTTTTTCCTAGACTGGTTATCACGCTGTTAGGATACGGGATGACTTTCTGTCTTTCAAAAGGGTATTTTATCGAAAGAGAATGCAGCAGATTGGCCCGGAATTTGAAATTGGCACGCCGATTTGGCATTCAGCGTCGATGTCCGTAAAACAGTTCTTGGGTGATACGTTACGACTGAATATTAAAGCGTTTTCTTTCAAGTTCAGTATTTTATTAATATGAATGTTCAAAAAATTATGTTTGTGTAAAGTTTTAGACTTCCATCTTTTGTGCAACGCTATGTAAACCTTACAAATGCTTTTGAATTTAACTCGGCTCTTTATTCGTTGCGAAATTACGTCGATTCCAAGAATTATAAAAAAAATTCTGCCGTTAAAATAAATGGCTTCCTCTTGACCTTAAAGAACAGAGGATTAATCAACTTTTAAAAACTTTTCTTTTCTTGCTATACATTGTTTTTGAAAAAAGTGTATTTATTTTTATATTATTATTATTATTATTATTTCTGCTGCATACACATTTCCTTCCGGGTCCCAATCAGTGACGTAAGGTCAGAAATGGCGCCATGACATTTTCCTATGATGGTTATTGTAAAAAAAAACAACAAAAATAAAGAAAAAAAAGCAAACATCATACATATTTTAAATAGATAAAGCCCTTCATAATGTGTTGGCTGTGATTCTGATTAAAATGTTTTGTTTTTCTTTAAGGCTTGAACTAGCAGGAATCACTTCAATGAGTCTATCAGAACCTTTTCCAATCAGTCCGAGTGCTCCACTTACAACGGGAATCATAGATGTTCTCATGTCTCGCATTTTTGGGGTTTCCATTTCAAGATCCTTGTATTATGATAGTTTTTTTTTAAGATCTTCAAAGATAAATTGCAATCTGCAGGGACTGCGATGTCAATAAGAAATCACATTCTGTTCCTGTGGTTTTTGATCACGATGTCTGAGAGATTAGCTTTGATTGTTCTGTCCGTGTGTATTTTAACGTCCCATAATATTATTTCATATCCTAAATCTGTAACCTGGTCTAGGTGATGTTCATACCATTTTTCGTAGTTTCCTTCACGTAAAAACTCCATATTATCTAGTCCAGACGTTAAACTCACTATAACATTTCATCAGGTTTCATTGGCGTATTTTTGTAAATAGAGTTTTTGTCGAGATTCAAATGTATTGCTAGTAATATTTATACTTCAAAATGTATTGCTGGTATTTTCACTACAAAAAATGTATTTTTATACTTTCATAATGTTTTGACCTCAGTTTGGGTGTTAACTATTATGCCCATAGTTGGGACCCTAATAGGTGCTACCACCCCAGGTCAGGGTGAACCTGGAATAACATCAATTAAAAGGTAGTTCCAGACTCCTCAAATTCTCCCGCTCAGAGACCTTTCTGCCGGATGAAGTTTATCGTCATACCCAAGATGCAATACTGCAGGATGATTCAATTTCAAGGTTCAAATCAGGACCAGTTCCGAAGATCGCTGTGAAGCATGAAAATATAGGATGGTGTTCTACATGGCCCAGACTGTGTTTATATATATATATATATATATATATATATATATATATATATATATAATAATTATAATTTAAGTTTTACTTCTGTATGGAGCATTGTTTTTTAAGAATAAAATCAAAATTACTAAAGAACCCCGGATTTTTTTTACCTAACGTGTTTTTTTTTTTTATTTTTTTTTATATATATATATATATATATATATATATATATATATATATATATATATATATATATATATGTGTGTGTGTGTGTGTGTGTGTGTGTGTGTGTGGTTTCAGCGGTTTGATGGCAAGCGGTCATTTAATGCAAGAAGGCTTTGTAGGAGAATACTCAGAGATATATATATATATATGTGTAAGCAAATATATAGCTACTTTTTTATATATATTTTTTCTGTATATTTTTTCATATATATATATATATATATATATATATATATATATATATATATATATATTTGTGTGGGGGGGTGTATTTAGGCAGCAATCCTTCTTTCCTGCACATTTCATTGAAAACGACAGACAAGGTGCTTTTATTTAGTTTTTTATACAATTTTTCATGCGATCTAATAT